CACAATCCAGGAGCTTCATTTTTGAATTTCATTGCTATACAATGTGTGGCACACAATGCTCATGGATCCAATAACAACAGATTGGTAGGTACTGTAATCCGACTGTAGCGTTGTAACGGATGGCAGCTCGATTAGTATTTGAAGGAATGCTTTCTTGCTTTGCTTCGTACACGTATATTCAAATTATCTGTAACGCGATTGCGTTCTATTGTCCGATGATATCTCATTCGACGCATGTCATGCTTGTTTGAAGTCTCTCTTTCGACTTCTGTGCGTGCTGAACGTGTCTGCATGGAGAAGGAGATCAGGCTATATATATATAATTTTCGGGTTGGTTACTGTAGGTATTGTTAGGCCGTTAACTTGTATGCCTAATTCTAGCCTGACCTCCTTCGTCCATGTGGTGAAGCGGGTCGCCGTTGTTTTCTTTGGGGAGAGTGTTAGACTCCTTGCAGTGAAGCGAGAAAGGCTGGAGAGATAGCAGTTTACTTTTGAGCAGAGGACATCAATTTCATTCCCAGGCGCCAATATCGAGAAGTCGTCAGCGTATGAGATCAGGGAAACTCCCTCAGCTAGCTGGGGGAGCTTGGAGATGTGGAAGTTAAACCCCTTGTTTTATTCTTCTAGGTTTCGAGGTTTGATCTCTGAAGATTACTGACGACTATCGACCACTAATATAATTCGCCGACCACCGCTTGAGCTCCTGTGGGAGAGGGGAGGCCTCAATGTCTTCTAGCAGCGTGGAATGGCAACCGGTGTCAAACACCTTTGGGTGTTTATGGCGTTAAGTACTGTTGTTGTGCTGTGCGCTTTACGGAAGCCATGCTGATGTTCCGCTGTGGTCAGGTGGTAGGTGAAGCACGGCAGTAGCATAGCCTCTAGTGTCTTCGCGGCCGGGGAAAGGAGCGATATCGGGCGATAAGAGTATCCTTTGTTGACATCAGCATCAGCATACAGATTCCGTCGGGTCCAATGGCTTTGTAGGCTTTCGCCTTCCCGATGGCCCCTTCACTTCGCCGCTGGTGAAAACTAGTGGTGCACTATTTTTAGGCAGTTTGTGCAGCCTCCTGGTCACCTGACGTTTGGCCTTATCTACCGAAGGATGTAGTGTGAACTGCCGGCTAAAGTAGCTCGCGCATTTCTTCGGGTCCGACTAGGCGCGACCTTCAAATGAAAATTCCACTCTGTCATCGCGCTTCGTCTGGTTGGACAAGGACCTCACGGTTGACCAGAGCTTACTAACACCAGAGGCGAAGTTAAAGGACTTAAAGTGCTCTTCCCACTTTTTCCGCTTGTGCTGATTTACCAGTTGCCGAATCTCCAAATTTAAGTCCTCTGTTGCTAGTACAGCTGCTTCAGCCGGAAAATTTGGGCGGACTTCCGCGATGCATCCGGATGGTATGAAGCGAGCCGCTGCGGCAGTGACTACCAGCGCTCGCCAGTGTGTACGTCTGAGGGTGTGATGAGGGTGGCGAAGCTGCTCTTGATAACTTCGGCGAAGCCGTTACAATCAGCTTCGTTGAAGTTGGTATAGGTTCGGTGGTCCGCGGGTGCAAAGTCGGTGGGCTAATTGATAGAGATGATTATGGGTAAGTGGTATGGTGCTAGTGTTAGCATAGGTCGCCATGACATGCTATTTATCAGGCCAGCGCTAGCAATTGTTAGATCTGGCGAGCTGCTGCAGCTGCCCACAATCCTGGTGGGGGTGTTGTGGTTCATGGTGCAGAATGTCGAATCGTCTATCTGCTCAGCCAACAAGTTTCCCCTACGATCATTTGCCAGGCTTGAATGCCAAAGGTCGGGGTACGCGTTGAAGTTATCTACTACCATTCGGTTTTCACCTCTAAGTAGCGCACCTATGTCGAGCTCGACATCAGCTGACCGGACAACTATGTCCTCATATTGTAAGGAGGTGTCTCTCGGGTCGAGGCTTTCTTCGACAAGCCAAGAAAGTTGAGTTGCTGTGCAACTTCGTTTCTTGGACCGCAGCTATCAATATGCCATGCGGACCCATAAAGATTTCTATCTTCAATCTTGCTCTGGAGTCCGTTGCAGTTCAGTTGTGAGAGTTTCGTATGCCTTGGGAGGCTGGTCGCTATACGAGAGGGTGAGGGACGTGTGGCGTCTACCTTGGGCCTACGCCCGACGCAGTTACTGCCTAGTTGTCGGGGGCTGCAGTGGGTGGTATGTTGTTTGCGTCTGTGGTGCTCTGCAGCAGGGGGCGCTGAAATTTGTTGTCCACTCGCGTGTGGTGCGCAGGCCAGTACATAGATGGAAGAGGTCCAGCCAAGGCATGTGTTGCATTTTATTGATGTCACGTTCCTTTTATACTCTTCTGGCACACGGAGCAACTAGGAGCTGCTGGTTGACTCGCACACGCGATTTGGAACGGCCGGTGGATTGGTGTGAGTGTTGAGGTGGGGAGATTTGCTGTTGCTCAGAGGAGCTTCTGGGATCCGTGCAAGCTCTTTGGGTGCTGGTTAGCATCTGCGCGTTGCGCGAGCGGGTAGCCGTGGAGGCTGGTGTAGTTTGGCTTGAGCACAGGGGGCCACAAAGCTTGTGGTCCACTCCCGGTGAGATCTAAGGCCAGAACAGATTCTTAGGTGACTCCATCCGTTGCAGGTATTGCACCTAACCGATGTGGAGCTCGGATGCTGTCGTCTCTGGCAAACGCAGCAGAAGTATGTTTCTGGTCCGGGGTTAGGTTCAAAGACCGCCCGGAGAAGAAGGATGCGGAGCAATCCGTCTGCAAGTTATTGCTCCATTGACGTGAAATGATTGAAGGGTATCGCCGATCTACAAAAAACTCGCACAAATATGTTTTCGTATAAATGAAATACAAATAAACGAGTTCCTACATAAAGCAAAAATTTTAACAAATTCATGGAATATACACCCTAACTTGACATAACTCACAAGTAGCATAACTCAAATTTTAAAATCTGGAATTATGTCACTCCTTGTACAGTGACAGAAAGCCAATTTTTTTACTTGCGGTTATGTTACTTCTTATAAGTGTCATAACCCCAATTGGGATAATGTAACTTTTGAGCCCAAAGCATATTTTCCAGCTCACAAGAAAAATAAAAAAAGCATATAAAAACACGCTCAAGAAATGAAAAAGAAATTTTCAATTATATAATTTTCTGCGCAAAAATACTTCCGCCGGGAGAATTCTACTTTGTTGCAGCAGGGGTGCAGTTTTGATTTTCTTCTATTTCGTAAAAAATCTGTTTAGTTAACGGTTGCGGTTGAGTACGGACGTGTTCTTTATTCGCTCCACAAAAAATCATATTTATCGTGTAACTAATAATACTTAACCATCGAAAGATACATTAAACTATTATTGGAGTTTTGTGTCGTCACGAACTGCCCTCAGCAGTATAAAAAATCAAACCGTGATCGCGAAAAATACCTAAATAAACAACACGACATCGTGACATCGTAAAAAAAAATTAAATTATTTGTTTACATACAAAACGGTAGTTGAGTGAGAGATGAGTGTGGAGGGCGCTGCCCTAAAGGAGCGCAGGCACTCAATACAAAGCGCAAGCAAAAGAAATGCATCTTTAACAATTACTGCATACAGCCCAAAAAGCAAAACCAGCAACAACAACGCTAAGGAAAACTCTTATACTGCTAACACACCATCACAAACAGCAGATGCAGCCAAGCAAAGAGCATCTTGCTCTCCAGCAGTGATCAATGCGGACAACAACGCAGCTGCCGATGATAATACCACAACATAACCAGTAAACAACCTTCGGTGAATTTGGCGACTGCCTTCCTCGGGGATGAATATGCTAGGGATGAAATTATTGGTACACACGCCTTCCAAGCACGCAGGGATGCTTTTAAGAAGCAAAAAATAATTTACTCCAAATAGTTTCAAAAAGTATCGCGTAAAACGAAATTTATTGAATAACACTGTGGAACAAATTCAGGTTAGCAAAAGTTAGGTCGATTCTGAGAGTGAGGGGTGAAAATAGAGGCTAAATTAGAAGACCCGTATCGCGGCGTTTGTTTATGTTAGTTCGAATTTTTTTTTAATCGACCTTCGAACTTTGCAGTCANGCATTTGCGAATTGATAGAAAAGTACTACGGATTGTAAATTTTTGTTAACTATGAGGTGAATGAAAATTTTCAACCCGGCATGACGGTGTTGAAGAATTTTTTTCTAATTTTATCACAAAGGCGTCTAATAAATGCATGTCTTTTAGTTCTAGAAGAATAAAAGTCAGTAAAGACAAGTCATTTTTGTATAATTTGTGATTTTAATTGCTCAACTCCTTTTGCACCAGAGCAACTGTCAAAAATTTCCAGCAGTAAAAAGTTACGAATGGGCACAGCAGAAATGAAAAATTTTCTCGCCATAATAAGAAGTTTCTTCAACATGGAATTTTTGTACTAATTGACATGAAAGTACTATCTCAACGCTCGGAGCGCTGCCACTGAGGGCCTTTGCTAACTGATAAAAAAGAGCAAATTTGGAAAGACCAAACAAAAATTTTGAGATTTGTCGTTGTGAATACCAATGCCATAGTTTTTACCTAGCTCGTGGGACTACGCAAAATTTTGACAGCTTGTAAAAATATGTATACACATCAGTGGCGGATTAACAATCTGGTGGGCCCTGGTGCGAAATTTTTTTGGGGGCCCTTTTCCATATAAATATTTTGCGATTAGAATACAGTTTGATCGTTATAAATTTAAATTGCGGTTCATGTAACATATTTGATCATTGGACGTTGTTTTGCTCTGTGCATTAAACGCACTACTCCATAATATTGATGTCATTTTATATTGACATTTTTTGGTTATTGTTATAGTCAGTGTTTAAAAAACTGCAATAACTTTCATTTCATTTGCTATCACTTAAACTTACTGCTCTGAACAACAAAGCAGTCGTAGTGTTTGTAGTGCCTTTTAAAAATTTTGATTTTGATTTGATTTTGATTTCGTCAGCGCAACAAGTCAAAGTAAGTAAGCAAGGTTTGCTTTTGCAAGTTGTATTCAGCAGCAGTCGTGAAATATGAAAATCAAACTGATTGCAAATATGTAATTTATAATATCAAGCAGCAAAGAAAAAACCTTGCGAAGTCGTCGGCAAACACAAAACAGCATCGCTTATTGCTTGCAAAAAGTTTGATTTTCATATTTCACGACTGCTGCTGCACACAACTTGCGTAAGCAAAGAAAATCCAAATCAAATCAAAATCAACAGTTTGAAAAGGCGCGACAAACAAGGCGCCTTGCTTTTTGTTGCTTTCCAGTTTTTGATTTTGCATGAACTGCGACTGCTGAAAATTCCTAATATGGTAAGCACACGCAATTACTCATTTTAAAAAGCGACGATAAGTAAAATCAAAAAAAAAAAAAACCAAGCAAATTGTGACAATCCAGAGTTTTGTGAATCTACTTCTGATACTTTTTCAATTCCATCAACGTCAAGAGAGGTTAATTTCCAACATGTTGACAGCACGATCGAAGGTGTATGAATGTATCAAAAATTGATGAAAATTCCACCAATGTGTTTTCAAATGACCCAGGTTTGTGGCCTATTCAATTCAATCAATCAATCGTTCAAACTTATTGGATTAAGAAGGGTATGCTATCGTTGGTATTTCAATATAAGAGTAAAAAATTAACACAGAATACTCTTATTTAGGTCCCTCGTCGTGTCGCAATATTGATTTGATCGCAAAGAAATCTGGACAAAGAAACTTTTCTGAATATCATTTGCATCGGGTTTTACCAAATGGAACACAGACCGAACGTGATTGGCTGATCTATTCGCCGTCAGTCGATTCAGTATTTTGTTTTGCTTGTCGCTTGTTCGGTAATTTAGACGAAAATGCAAGTTCATTTGCTCTAAAAGGTTTCAATGACTGGAAACATTCAAAGCGTGGTATTTCAATTCATGAACAATCTCATGATCACATGTCCAACAATGTCAAATACAAAATGCGACTAAAAACCGATTCTTCTATAGAAAAAACATTCGAAAATTCACTTGTCAATGACATGACTTATTGGAGGAAGGTTTTGAGTCGTGTTGTAGAGGTTATCAAATTCCTAAGCTCAAGGGGTCTTGCGTTACGTGGTCACGATGAAATTCTTGGGTCCAAACATAATGGAAACTTTCTTGGATGTTTGGAGCTGTTAAGCAAATTCGATCCATTTTTGGCAGAACATATCACACGTTTTGGCAATAGAGGAAAAGGTATACTTCTTCAAAATAACTTCGAAAATGATTTGTCTCTTCATTTGGTATGTTTTTTTTGCAGGAAGAGCTTCGTACCTTTCAAGTTCAATATGTGATGAATTCATATCGATTATGGGAAAAGGTGTGAAGGAAAAAATCGTTTCGGAGATAAAAGAAGCCCGTTATTATTCATTTAGCATTGACTCTACTCCGGATGTGAGCCATACGGATCAGCTGTCACTATGTTTTGGATACGTAAAAGGCCGTGACATTCATGAACGGTTTATTGCTTTCATTCCAATTGAAGGTCACACAGCAGACTATCTTTTGTCTATCGTTTTGAATTTCCTAGAGGAGAGTAAAATTGACATGCAAAACTGCAAAGGCATTTCATTTGATAACGCTTACAATTTGGCTGGAATTTATGGTGGCCTTCAGCGTTTGATTATTCAACGAAATGAATCGGCGATTTTCGTGCCTTGCACTGCTCACTCACTGAACTTAGTGGGTAAAAATAGTGTTTCTAAAAACATTACCGCATCTAATTTTTTTGATATGATCGAAAAATTGTATGGTTTTTTTGTTTATTCATCTTTTCGTTGGAATCGACTCAAAGAACAATTGTCCGAGAAAGGCGAATTTATGTTAAAGAGAGCAACTGGCACAAGGTGGTCGGCTAAATTCCAATCAGTTCAAGCTTTGCACTCATGTTACTTGAAAGTGTTAACTGTTTTGAATTCTCTCATTTCTGAAAAAAGCCTCAGTGAAGATAACAAAGCATCGGCAAAAGGTTTGATAGCCAAATTGTGCCAATTTAAAAATATTTTAATGCTTGTCTTGTGGAAAAGTGTTTTGACTAAATTTAACTTTGTAAATTTAGCTTTACAAAAACCAAATCTGACTCTTTCGACGATCACAAAACTATATGCTTCAATAGTTACAGATCTTGAAAACAAGGATTACAACAAAATTTTCGATGAAGCCTTGACAATTTTCGACAATATTCCTTCTGATTTTCAAGCAGATTTTATTCAGTCTCGTTCAACAGCGCAAGCACTTGTTCCAGAAGATGAGAAAGAAAATTTTAAAAAATCGTTATTCGAACCTGTTATCGATGCTCTGTTATCAAATTTGAAAAAACGTGCAGATATTTATAATGATTTGGAAGCCTTTTTCTCATTTTTAATAAATTTAAATTCAATGAGTGACGAAGACATTGCTGTATCATGTAAAAAAGTAGTCGAAAAGTATCCAAATGATCTCAATGAAGTTCAACTAACTGATGAATGTCAATTTGCCAAAAATTACTTTACTTTTGATAACTTAAATCATGAATCGATGTACAAAACAATGTTCGATGATCATCTTTGTGAAACTTTCCCGAATTTAGACATTTTATTACGCATTTATTTATGCATGTTTGTCACTAATGTTACAGATGAAAGATCATTTTCAAAATTGAAATTGATAAAAAATTGTTTGCGTAACACTATGGGAGATGATCGTTTGAACAGTCTATCAGTTCTTTCCATTGAAAATAACTTGTTGGATGAATTAGACTTTGATGAAATTATTGATTAGTTCGTAACACTCAAGTGCAGAAAAGTTGTGGTTTAATTTTGTTGGGCAAATAAATAAAAATCTATCATATTATCATATGAATATTTTTTTTCATTGGCCCCCTTGAGTCCGGGGCCCTGGGGCAATGGTCCCAAAATTTGTTTCGATAATCCGCCACTGATACACATAAAGTTGTTGGCGGTAATAAAGAGTCAAAATCAAAATGGAGAAAAGAACAAAGTGCGTACGTTAGTTGTCAGTTATAAAATAAATCCAATTTATTTGCGAATATTTGTTTCTTCTATTTATTGAAAGGCAACCATGCTTAAAAGCTTGTGTTAATTATATTGATAACAGAACCTTGCAACTCGCACGTTGTCTAAATTCTCAAGTAACATAAAATCCACAAAAGAATACATTGTTTGTATTACCATTAATACGCCATCTATAAATTTTAACAACACACAAAAATAGAGCTTTCGCACGAGCGTTTGTTTGGTTTTTCAACACCATTTATAATTTTCTTTTAATAAAATCACGATTTGTCAAATGCTTGAATTTATTTATCTAATAATAATGCAGCACACAACCCTGAAATCAAAGAAAAAGTCTGAGGAAGGCCATTAAATAGCAGCACACAACCCGGTGCCTTCCTCAGGAGTGAATATAACTACAACAACAACGACTACTACAACAACAACCCAAAAAGGTTGGTTACTGTCTATACTGTGGTAATACTTCGACGGCAACAAACAAAGAAGACGAAAAAAAAGCAAAAAATGCTACTGTTCAGATTGGGTTAGATCCCTACGTATTAATAAAGCGAAAGCGCACACCCAAAAAAAATTGAAAAAAAGCCCAAAAAATAAGATGTTGAAAGTAGTCACTTCAGGTGCTTCTACATCGGCGGAGAATAATCGTTTTAGTATTCTCCACCCGCTAAACCAATGTCTGCGCCAATGACTGTTAATAACTTTACTTCATATGCACAATTGCTCAAAATTACTCCCCCGACATAACCTCTTTTTGGTCAGAATAGAAGTAACCTAGAAGCTACTATAAAAAACTTTATGAAAGTTATGCAGGAGCAAATGATGGCAATGCAGAGCATGGTACACGATTTGATTAAAAATCAAAATCTATTACTTCAAGCCATTTTAGCTAAACCATGAATAATCTCAAATTATGTTTTTGGAATGTGAACGGGATAACCCGGTATAAAAACGAACTAGAAATTTTCCTAGAGCGATATCATATAGACGTTTTGCTTGTATCTGAAACCCACCTTACGCAATTCAATAACTTTCAAATTAATGGGTACAAATTCTGTGATACTAAGCATACACAAGGTAAAGCTAGAGGTGGAACAGCTATTCGCATTCGCAACAGAATAAAGCACTGTGAATTAGAATCGCAAAGTGATGAGTTCATTCATAACACTGCAATACACATTGATGACCACTTGGGTGGCCTTACTGTATCTGCTATATACTTCCCCCCCTCGTCTTAACAACAGAAAAACAATTTATTGACTTTTTCCTAAAGTTTGGCAGTAAGTTTATTGTAGCAGGAGATTACAATGCCAAGCACACATTCTGGGGATCGAGATTGATTACACCAAAGGGTAGAAATCTATATAAAGTAATCCAGAACAGAGGATTTGACGTCTGGTCTACTGGTTAGCCATCGTATTGGCCATCTGACCCCCAAAAAATACCCGATCTTATTGAATTTGGTGTAACCAAGGGTATTGCGCGACACCGAGTTAATACTGATTTTGTTACTTAATAATACTCATTTGATCTCTCTTCAGATCATTCACCCTGCCTCATAACATTATCAATGCTTATTGTTGCTATTTTGGGGAGTAGCTTAGGGTACGCTAAATCAGCGATAATAACTATATTTAAATAAGAGAGGAGTTTTAAATTTAAACGGTATTCAGCAGCTTTATTAAGTTCACTTAAATAGATAAGAATACAATTACTTCGGAGTTATGAGAAATTTGCCTGAGTGGCTAATTAAATGCGAGGAATCAGTGATGCGGTTGCGCTGGCGGCTTCAGAGTGAGTGCCGAACGCTTGGTCTGTGAGGACGAGTCATCCCGTACCATCTCTTACAATATTTATCATCGAATACTACAGTACGAATTCGAAGATATTTAGTACAATGCAAAATGAGATGTTGCCAGATGTAAATCTAATCTAAGTTACAATAATGTTTAAGTTCTAAAAGTAATAAAAAGATACGTGTAAAATATTAAAAACAAAAGTAAATGATGAAATTTCTGCCCATGTCTTCAACATGCTGGGCCCACAAATCTTGATGTCATGTTGGTCGGTTGCAGCTCCGATAGCGATTATGTGTGGTCTTCAGGGGGCCTTATTCGGGCTCCTTGACAGAGGAGGAGGAAATGAGCCCGGTGGCACACCTGATACATCTCGATTCGCCTGTGGGAGAAGATCGAAAAATGTGTTAGTAAAATAATACGAGTGTGTAGAGATGCGAGTGAGTTATGTGGGCATGTATTGCATGACCAAATGGATAATATTGGAGAATGGGTAAATAATTTATAAGAGTGTGGGACGGTTTGGAAGATTCTTCTCGGGTGGAAGTATGATTGGAGTTGATCCTGGAGAAAACCTTTGGTTCGCGTCTTGAGAATTGTATACTTTTGATATTTGATGATTATGCGGTGGGGGCTTTTCGCCCACTGCCGAGTGTGCAGAGCCAGTAAGGTGAAGTGTTGGGGGCTACAGTGTTGTTGTGTTAACTCTTTACCTAAGGGAGCGACACTGGTCCTAAAGCAACTAGTTCCGGTTGTATCCTCTCGCGAATGTAGTTGACGAGAATTACGGTCACTTGTATATGGAGAGGAAGTAGCCTTCTGGGTGTCATCTATGTTGGGTGGCATCGAAGTTCTCGCTTGATTTGATGCTGGGGTCTGCACACTTGACGGCTTTGTCTTCGGATTTGAAGCGCATGTCGATTTATGAGAGGCACTTGAAGGATTTCCTTCATTGGGGGCTGAAGATTTTGTTGGCTTGAGGGTAAAATTTGGAATTCGGGGGCCTGCTGAGTTGGTAGAGAGGAACTATAAGGCTTTCTCCATTTCAGCTTTGCATTTATAATATTGAGTCGAGCAGTTTGCAAAAGTTGGGGTTCTGAACTACGTACTAATGTAAAGCAGCGTAAATGGGAAAGTTGTTGAAATGAGGTCACCACGCTTTCCCAGTTTTGGTCCAAGAGTTGCATTTTTACTTTTAACAGCGACACTGAGAGGTTCGCTGTTGAGGTGGAAGACCATCTTTGGCACAGTAAATCGAATTTGTGGCTTTCGAAATTAAAATCCTGATGGGATGCATTTGTTGCGGGGTGCAATGAGAAAATTCGGAAATTACTACCATTTTTATTTTATATTTTATATGGGTTGGGAAATTACACTGTAAATGAAATTTATTTTGTTTACTAAATTTTTTTCTTTGAATTAATTTGCGCTGATGTAATTTTCTTTATGTAAGTTTAGTTATTTGGTACCACTGTGCGGTGTTCTCATAGTTTGACTAACTTAAGCCACGGTATTATCTTCGCGCATTCGAGAGCAGTGCTTATGTGTGTGCGGGTGTATGTGCATGCACCGTACATGAGTTACGTGATAGAATGAGTGCAGAAAAGGAATAGGGTAAGTGTAAAATTCGCGTTAAAGCACTGTTGATAGCTACTGCGTGCGTACATATGTATTTATACCTTGCGCGCCAGCAAAGCTACAGGAACCTGTACAGATATACATATGCATATAGTTGTGTAAACTTAGGTCTCTTTTTATGCGTTTTTTTTGCGTATTTGAATTTATGCGGTTTTTCAAACAATTTCTTCGATGTAGCGATTTTGCTTTTTTGAGAGTTTTTATTACTTTTTTGAGTGTGTAAGAGACAATGCTTCTGATAAATAACTTGTATTTGTATTCTTACATAATTCATGTATTTATTGTGGTACAAATAACTAAACTGGACCCAAGGTTCTCGATAAGGGACAACAAAGATTCGTTTTTGCTCGTTTATATGAACCAGTGGATAAAAATATACGTATATGCGAAAGGCAAATCTTTTTAAATGAACACCGCCAATATTTCTTGCAAACACACATTGATTTACATCTTTTATTTCGCCTACGACACAGAATTGTTTTCGTACAAAATTACGCAAAAAGCTTACTCGTTCGTTTTTAGGCATGCCATTGTTACGAATCTCGAAAGTTCAAAAATACGATTCGGATCGCAGCATAATATTTCTACGATTCGTAGCAAAATCCGAATATGAAAGAGTTGCAGAATAGGGGTGTAAAGGTTTCACTCCCTGCAAATACGCATGCAATTCTGGAAAGCTTTCTGCTGGGGAGAAACTTCAAGGTGTCCCTCAAGGCAGTGTTCTAGGACCCATATTGTACGTAATATACACTCGTGATTTGCCAATTGATGATAGTCTAACCATTTCAACGTTTGCTGATGACACAGCTATCCTAAGCAATAGTTCAGACTTTAAAGAGGCTTCTTACACGCTGCAAGAATATTTGATAAAGTTAGAGCTATGGCTAGGTTCTTGGAGGGATAAAGGTTAACGAAAGCAAGTGTATTCAGACAACATTTGCTTTGAAGAAAGAAACTTGCCCACCACTAACAATAAACAGCAAGGCTATACCACAAAAAGATAGTGTCAAATACCTTGGAATGACACTACATAGAAGACTTACCTGGAAAAATATATAGAAAACAAAATTTCTCAAGCGAAACTAAAACAAGCAAGCCTTCAATCGGTTATAGGAAACAAATCTAAATTAAGCCTAGATAACAAGATGTTGCTTTTTAATATGATGATTAAACAGTGTTGGGCATATGGAATCGGGCTTTGGGGCACAGCGTGCAATTCCATTTTTAACAGACTTCAAAGACTGCAGTCACACGCGCCATATGCGGAGCACGATGGTTCATAAAAAATACGAATATCCATAAAGATCTTAATGTAAATACGGTGCATGAGGACATAAGAGAGCTAAGCACCAGTTACTCAGCACGGTTAATGAACCATCCAAGTACTTCGCCGACCTAAACGGGGTTAGATCACTTACACCCCACATCACGACACGTCTCCCGAACCACATGAAGCTCCTTCAATTTAACTGCAACGGGATACAGAGCAAGATTGAGGAGATAACCGTCTTAATG